CAGGAGACCCTTGCGTGCGGACACAGAGCAGCGCAAGCGCAGATGCAAGACACTGAAGTTCGGGAGATGCGATTTTGGCCTCCCAGGTGGGGGTGGGGTAGATGGTGTCGGAGGATCGTGCCGCATCGCCGATGCATCGGCGATGCGGCTCCATGTAGAGCCTGATGTTGCCGACGTCGCGGACGCATCGCCGACGTCGCCGATGCGTCGCCGGTGCATCGGCCATGCGTCGCGATCCTCCGACCCCATCTACTCGGACCCCATCTAGGAAGCCTCTAGGTGAAGAGTAAATCAGTGGCACGCGCGTCGTTTCTCTCGAACTGTGATCGTGTTACTCATTCGGTCCTTGTGTGAGGGCCTCGTGCTTCTTCGACGGTAACGCGCGCTGGTGGGGGGTCGTCCGGCCAGAGTGGCGTTCACACTGCCTGTGCGCCCCGAGAGGTAGGCAACAGTTTTGGTTCGGAATGGGGCTCGCTGTCCCTCAGGTCCTTCCATGGTCATTCCTCTAGCGCTCCTCGTGCACCTGGGCGCCTTTGGGGCCAGAAGGGGGCCCCGTGCCTCATGTCTCTGGTCTTCTGTGTGGCACCAGCCTGACTGCACATTGCCGGTCCCGAGGCGTCCGCGCGGGCCTCCGAATAGGGTGGCGATCGTACACTGTTTGTTTGGCAACTGGGGGGAGCGGAGTGAGCGAACCTCTGTCGTGACGCTCAGCTTTGCAGTGCTTCGGGCATCGGGGGGCCCGTCTCTGGCCGCGGGGCAGTCCAAAGCCGACCCGGGATGAGGAAGCGGCCCCCCAGACCCCCGACGTCGCGACGTGTTGAGAACGTCAGGTCGATCGCATCATCTTGAAGAGGGGGGAGTGTCAGGGCGGTAACGCGCCCTGGAGGCATACTTCCGCACCCGTCCACGTGCGTCCATTTCAATGTGTGCTCACCTTTCCGAGGCCTTCCTCTACATGGCCTTCGGCCTTGGCCCACTGTGGCCGCCAGTTTTGGCACTCCGTGTGCGTCAATTCCCTTAACAAGGACATTCCCCACACGTTCTTTGGGCGTCTTCGCGCCGCTGGCCTCCAGCTCGCCCATGGTCTGCTCGGCCGCGCCAGATCAAGGCCTTCCTCTATCTCCTGGCCCCGTCCTCTCGCTGCTTGGAACGCAGCCCGCGCGTCCTCTTGGCGGCACCCCGTGCAGGTCTGTGCGATCTGAGCGGCTCTGCCCTCGCCCTCTCTTTCTTTTTGATTCCTTTTCCTTTTGGTCTCAAGTTGCTGCGGCGCGTTGCGTCCCAATTCGAATGTATCGAGTCTTGTCGTTGCCTCAGTGTTTCCCCACTAGCGGCGCCCCAGCGCCACCCTGCCGTGCCTCCGCGGCGCCTAGACTGCAGGCCGCTTACCCGCTTACCCGCTTTTGCTTCGGCGCGCCTCGCCTTTAGCCCGACCCGCGCCTGACCGATTCCGCACCTTTGCGCCCAGGTCGTGGGTTGATCTCGAGATTTAGAGCAGCTGCGGAGCTCTTCGCTTCACGGTTAGATCGGGCATCGTCGAACGCAGAATTTAGTTTGCAGCCTCGAAAGAATTCAATTCGAATCGCTACTCGAGCTGTGATCGAAAAACTAGTTAAGTGCTGCAACAATGCTGCTGCACGTGGTCCCTCGGAGGTCTCGCCCCATTCCTTGGGACCGGCTTTTCATCCTGAGTCGTCTTTTGACGGCCCCGGGGCCCAGTAAAGTCCCCAGAGGAGGCGGACGAGAATCGCCGGACACCTCCCGCCGTTCATTTTTCTTTGTGCGGAAGGGCGTCTGGGGTCCCAGGATGGGGTCCGAGAGTTCTGGCGGGGCCCGCTCCGCGATCAACAAGATGCATGAGTTCGGACGCCTGCGGCCTCGCGGCGGGTCGGCCTCCGAACAGGGCGCGGCCGTGGGCGAGAGGCTGGCCAGGCCGTCCTTCCCGTGTGGCAGCTCTCTCGGCGCTCTCGGCCGGACCGCAACGCCAGGTGCAATCAATGCTGGGGGGGGGTCGAGGGCTGCAGGAACGTGTCCCTGGAGGGGCCCTACTGCCTACTGCATGGCCCCCACGCTGCCACCGAGGGCCCAACAAGTACGCGAAACGTGCACGTCACGCCTCGTTAGTTGCCCACCCGTTCACGCGCGCCCGACACTCGTCGCGAAAGCCCCAGCAGCCGGTTGATTCGGAAAAGGTAGCGCACAAGGGTTGGCTCAGATTCTTATGGTTCTGAGGCCGCTTGGTGGTTTTGCGGTTGCGAAAAACATCTCGGGATGAACGTCCGTTGCTGGGAAATGAGTCGGGAGGTCCTGGGGTCTTGCGACTCCAAAAATTTGAGCCGCGCAAGGTTGGGGGGCGGAAGGCGCACTTCCACCATCACCACCTGGCCCCTCTCCCCCCTCTGGGGCTGGGCCAAAGAGCCTCGGCTGCCGTTTGTGGGGACGTCTCGCAAAAAGGAGTCAACATTTACCCCATCCCTAACTGGCCCCCGCCCTCTCAAGGGGGGGCATGTGGGGTGGGGGTGCTCTTTTGCTTCCTTCGGAGGTGTTGGTCCGGCGTCTCCTCTCCCACCCTGGTGCCCCAGAGCACTCCACAGTTGCCTCTGCCCCAGCCGCTCCTGTCGCAGACCAGTCACTACTTGGGGAGCTGTGCTCCTTGCGCCCCTGGATAGCCCATCGGCTTCGACACCTCTTTCGATCGATCGCCGATACGATGATTCCCCCAGGGGCGTAGGGAACCCAAGCCGCGGGTTCCCGACGTCGCGATCAAGTACGCGACGTGGAACTCCAGAGGTCTGGACCCTCTTCCGGGGAGCAGCGTTTCTGCCCGAGTTGATTTTGACGGTCCCGGGGCTCGGTAAGGGCCCCCAGGGTCCGAGAGTTGTCAAACACATTCCGTCGTGGTATCTTTTACGGCGCGTTGTGGCTGGCGGATACCATTCCCTCACATGTCAGTCTGCGGGGTCGGTTTTCATCCCGAGTCTTTTTATGATTGCCCCAGGCCCAGCCAGGGCCCCAAGAGGCCGAACATTGCCAAATACCATTTGCCATGATTTGTCCCAACCCTCCTTTGGTTGGGTTCTCGTCTTGAATAGAGCAGTGTGGGCCCCACCTTCCTTCCTCCCGCCTCCCTCCTCCCTCCTTCTCGCCTCCTCTCCCTCGTCGAGACCTCGCGGCTCCCTGCGGGGCTGCGAAATGCGCAACCGTCGCCATTTTCGTGGGCTCCTGGGAGGTCCAGCGGAGTGGAGGTGCACGCGGATCTGCCGAGACCTCGCGGCTCCCTGCGGGGCTGCGAACCGCGCAACCGTCGCCATTTCCGTGGGCTCCTGGGAGGTCCAGCGGCACGCGGATTTGCCGAGACCTCGCGGCTCCTTGCGGGGCTGCGGAACGCGCAACGTTCGCCATTCTTGTGGGCGCCTGGGAGGTTCAGCTCATGTGCACTGCGGGTCCTTCAACGTGTTTGTTTGTATTATTGAGCGGTCCCCAACGTGTTCGCCAAATGTGTAGAACTGGTCGGTTGGATGCGTCACCGGGTAATTTCACGACGCGAGCATGTTTGAGTTCGGCGCAGGAGTGCCAGGGCGTCTGCGAGGCGGAGAGCGGCTGCAGGGGAGTCCAGTACGGGCCGGGCGACGCCTGTCAGCTGTGGGGCCGCCCAGTGACGTACTTCGACCGGGAGCCTGGCGGCTCGTGCGCAGTCCGGCTGCCTTTGGGCGGGCCCCGCAGGCAGGGCCCATCTTCATTCGACCGATCCGGTCCTCAGAGGAGGACAGGTGCCGATACCGCTGATCGTCCTGGAGAGCCCTGGTCGCCAGGGATGGATTCTGTTTTAAATTCTGGTCAGAACGCGCCCTAGGAGAGGTCCTTGGACTGGCAGTATCCGTATCTTGTTGTCTTCCCAGATATCGATCTCGCCCTGCTCGATCTGGTTCGGTTCCGATGTTCGGGTTAGCCTTGCTGCCGCGCAGGCGGGAGAACGCCGCGTGCGTCGTGTCTCCGGGGGGGCAGCCCGACGATGGCGCCGACGTGGTCTTGAAGGTGACGGGGGTGACTTCAAGGGGGATCGGATCAGGCCAGGGGGGAGGCGTGCTGCCCGAACGGCCCATCTGTCGCCCATGAGATCATGATTGCTCATCGCTGCTCATGAACTGCGGTTGTTTCGGGATCAGCGTCCTATCGGAGGTGCATGCAGGATGCATCGGTGATGCCACGTCGTTGGGTCCGCGCTGAGTTGGTTCCCCCCTGATGCCTGCAGGTGGTGAGCGGAGTCGAGGAGGAGCTGTGCCAGACACTGTGCCGCAGCGCGTTCGGTGAGGGCTGCATGGCCGTGGCGTACGCCGCTGAACCGAAGCGCTGCGAGATGTGGCGCCAGCCCGTTGATTTCGAGGAGAGGCAGGGCATCTCGTGCTCCACGTTCGAGTCTGCCAACGACACCGCGGGCGGCGACGCCCGCAGTGCGGCACAGCCCGAGGAGTCGTCGCTGCCGTGGGGCTCCCTGGGCTGGGGGTCACTCCTGGACTGGATGGCTACGACGACCTCGACAACCACCACGACGACGACATCAACAACCACCACCACCGCAACCACCACCACTGCCACCACGAGGACCGGCCGGCCCAAAGTCCATGTGGCCTGCTTCCCAGAGCCCAACTTTGGGGGGGAAGAGGGCAGGGTCCATCACTACCGCCCACGCCGCCCCAAACGGATAAGCTGCGAGGAGCCACCCTGTCCCCTCTTGTTTCTCTTTGTTTTGTTGTTGCTCTCCGTGTCTCTCCCTTTCTCTCATTCTCCTTCTCTCTCTCTCTCCATCTTCCTTCCCTTTCCCCTCTCCCTCTCCCTCTCTCTCTTCCTGATGCCAAGCCCCCCCCCGCCACGTACAAGTCAAACATTGCGCCTCTCTTATGCCTCTCCCTCTCGCTATAATCCTCCTCCTCCTCCTACTCCTCCTCCTCCTCCTCCTCCTCCTTCTCACTCCGTAGCAATTGGTTTGATTGACCCGAGTGCATGGCACGTCACGGTTGCTGGTCGCACTGGAAGCCCAAAAGGTATCGCTGGAGTGTTGCCGGAGACTGTTGCCTTCGCGCCGCGCGGCCTGTCTTCTGCATCCCCCCCTTCCCCTCTCTCTGACAGGGCAGTGGAGACCTGCGCAAGTCTCGGGACCGGTAGGAGTGCGACGTGGTGGTGCTCGACGCGATCCCATTTAAAAGACGAGCGCCCCATGGGCCCGCAATGTATGCGGGAGCCCCCTTGTGGATGAAGTTGCCCTACATCGTTCGAGGGACAAGGAACGCAATTCCGATGTCAACCATGCCACCATGCAGACCATGGTCCAGGCGTCCCTGGCGATGCTCACTCAGACCACTCCTGTGCAGGTGCGGTGCCACGAGAATATAGACGTCGCCACCGACCGCGAGCCGGGTGTCGAGGCCATCAGCAGCGGCCCGAAGGGCCCGTGGCGGCGCCGCATCTGCGGCACCCTGCCCCTCCGACGTGGGCCAGGGCCCCCCCCGCGCCGCGGCTCCGTCGGAGCCCCTGGTGCGCCCGGCGGGCAGCGGTGCGTGGACCCTCCTCCCTGGTTTCCATCGGCAGCGGACAGGGCACGACGCCGAAGAGCATACTATGGGTGGTAGCTTCACGGCACGATCAGAAGCCAGTTTCACGTGTCGCTGGCCCCTGATATCCGACGTTGCGAACAAAAACCTGCAACATCGAGAAATAGCCGTTACCAGGGCCCCAGGCCCCACCTTTCTGAGGCATGTTTCGAGCCGTATCGATCCATGATGGTCCCGGGGCTCGAAGCCGGGCAAAACCGCCCTGTGTGAAAAGATGGCAGCGCCAAGGTTTGAGGGGGCAACGCCGCGCCGATCGCGCGAGCGGAGGTCAGAGCGCCACGCGTTGTAACCGCGCTGACTCGGAGACAGTTGGTTTTTCAGGAGAACCCCAAAATTGATTCTAAATTGGCAACGGATAGGTTTCTGATCAATGTATAAATTTGTTTTTTGTTTATCATAGCGGCCCCTGGATTGCTGCGGCGTCATGGTTTTTTGATCACCCTTCTAAGGCAGGTTGTCTCCGAGCCATCGCGGCTGCTTCCTTGAAGCGGAGCGAGCGCGTGCCGACGTGTTGCGGTCGAGAGGTTTTCGGCAAGAGCATAGGTTCTTTCCTCATTCGGGCAGTTAGGTTAGGTTGTCTGATCAGGAGGACGTAGTAGTCCGAACACCTCGGCGCCCATAGGATCTCTTTAGCCCCCCTCTGAGGATATCACCGCCCGACGGATCGCACAGACATGCATCAAACATGCGGGTTCTTCGGGGTGTATACATGTGAGTTCAATAGAGAAGCCCCGCGTGCCGCGTGGTCCCCCCCAAGCGAGGTTCGAGTGTATGTGGCTCAAGCGAGGTGGGCGTTTTTTTCAACCTGGCGAGGTCCCATGGGGCGTGGCTGATTTCCCTTCGGACCACCTCAGGTACGCCTGGAACAGCGCGGCCCTCGATTGAGTTGTGATTTCGCGGTCGGGCGTTCGAACAGCGCAGGGGTTAGGGCCGCAATGGCAACTAATGCCGTGAGGGGGTATGCGTTGTCGGAACTAGGCATTGTACGGATTCTAGCCAGTTGGCGTCTACACTCGTGCCTCCCTCAGCATCGTCCCTCCGCTGTCCCTCCAGATGTCTTCCTACCGACACAGTATCGCCCCGCCGTCCTGTCACAAGAACGAACCAGTGAAGCCGTCGAAAGCCGTTGCGTCCATGGGTGGGGCAGGGGATGGGGGGCGGAAACCGATTGGGGGACATATTCAACATGAATCAGCGCAACGTCGCCTCCGACTGGTTTGGCTACCTGGGCCCACGGGTTTTTAAAGAGCGACAGACCGTCGGTACATCGCAATCCCAGGGGCAAGCTCCGAGACGGTCCCAACATTCGTAACAACACGTGGCCCCCCCCCCGCCCATCTGGTTAATCCTCCAACCGTTGTGGCTCAATCGTTTCCATGTGCAGGAATTGAAGCATTTGTCCGATGCAGTCGCTCCACGACCTGATCGAGGAAGTTAGCGGCGGCCCCTCAGGCAGCCTGGACGCTGAATTGGAGCTCGCGACACGCGGTGATGGTCTCGCCAATAGCTTGGAGGCGGAGCTCGCAGCCGCAGTGGGGGATGGGATGCCTCGTCAGAGGATCGGCCCGGTGATGCTGCGTTGGCACTGGCCGCGCTAAATAGCAGTTCAGGGCCTGGCGGCGCGGATGCGAGCGCCCCCGCCCCGCTTGATGACACATTGGGCCTGGCCTGCCCCGAACCTTCGGGCATTCAGGCGTGCATGAGGGAGAGCCAGACGCTTCTCGTGGATGCAGCAGTAGAGCTCGGAGTTAGTATGGAACGCCTGGGCGCTGGATTTTCTTCTGGAGCGGATTTCGTGCATGGCGCTTATGAGGGGAAGTTTCTGTCACTCGTCGACATGGTCATGGTCAGCAAAGCTTCGGGGTCTCTGCAGTATATTGCTGACGACGTCGGCCTTCATCACGGCGCTGCGGTGAATCGAATTATGTGCCATGCGGCTTGCGTCTGCCACATCAATCCAGAGAGCCATAAATCCGATCAGGGCCCTTGCTGAAGCAGTTCGGTCTAGTGAGGGGATCATGCGCGCGCCCCTCGATGCACGTACCAATGGACGAAACGCCAATGTATCGCAAAGTGGCGCAGGAGACATCGATCGACGACCTTCGCATCAGATAGGCGATCCAGAACAAATCGCTGCTCGACCACTCGCTGCAGGAGTCGCTGCTTGAGACGGAGGTTGAGCCCAGAGGGGATAATGCTGCATGCGAGATAAAAGTTGGTGCGCTCTTCGAGCTTCCTCCTGCTGATGCTGCCAGCGACGGTGGATCGGGTCGACGAGTCGTGCGCGCGCAGTCAACTGCACCGACGCCGGTGAGTTGCATCGACCGTGCCACGGGTGAATTATATCATCATCTCGCCCTCTTTGCACGAGCGCGGCCCCCCAGAGTTGGCCCCTTAGTTCACGCGGTGCGACCGCGCGTGCGCGAGCGGCGGCGATGGTGCAATTGCGAGGGCCGAGAGACGTCTGACCCACGAGTGCAAGCGTTCACGCCGAAGGTGCAGGATACACATGGCCCAAAACGTTCATGGGAACAGTTGCGGGGTAGTACTTGATCGGGCCTGCGTGTCGATACTGCGCAGCGAAAGTGTTCGAGACGTCTGGGGCAAAGAAGGGCTTTGAGAGGATTCTCAGGTATATTATTTTTCTCTGATTAAAACATTCGTGCTCTTGTTTGGCATTGCCCCCTTGCATGCTACTTCGCACCGGCTGGCCGTGGTCGACGCGTTCCCCCCGCCCTCCAACGCGGACGTTGCCCTCCAGCAGGCGCGCATGCTGGCGTTGAGAGTTCCGAAGTGTGATTTCAGGAAGTTTGGTGCGTTCGAAATGCAAAAAAAAACGGCGCGCGTGCAAATGAGTCCGAGATGCGTTTCTGGGCCATCAGCCACTACGTTCGATGCATCATGGAGCTCGGTGTGTTCGCGTTCCCACGGTCGAGGTGGACGAAGGCTCCAGAGTCAATTCGCGCGATGAGCTAGTTGATGAATACTGTTTCTGGCAGGAGGCTTTCAGACAACGCGCTGTGGGGCGTCTGCAGCGAGAACCTGTTCCCGCCGACAGCGTTCTTGCTATCCTGGATCGCGCTCTCGTTGGCGATGGCGCTGCTCCTGGTGTCTCGGCGGCTCCTTCCAAGGCTATTTCGGGCCGGGGCGAAACGGGCACTGGCGCAACCGCCGAGGTAACAATGCAATGTCGCTACCGAGGAACCCCACATACTTATATTATGGCTGGAGTGATGATAGCTGAAGTGAAGCGTGTGAGAATGATGTTGGTGGTCAATGCCCCGCCGATACCGTTGCGCCCTGGGCGACCGTCACGGATAGCGGCCGCGGTGAGAGACCACCGCTTGCGCATCCCATTTGTTGTCGAGAATCTGCCATGCCTGCTGCGCCCTGGACGACCGTCGCGGATGGCGGCCCCTGTGAGAGACCGCCCCCTGCGGACCCCCTTATGGCGTCGAGATTCAGCCATGCCTGCTGCGTCCTGGACGACCGTGACGGATGCAGCGGCCGCGGTGAGAGACCCCCCCTTGCGCACCCCTTATAAGGTGTCGAGAATATGCCATGCCTGCTGTGCCCTGGACGACCGTCACGGATGGCGGCCGCGGTGCGAGCCCACACCCTGCGCACCCCGTATGGTGTCGAGAACATGCCATGCCTATTGCGCGTTGGACGACCGTCACGGATAGCGGCCGCGGTGGGGGACCACCCCTTGCGCGCCCCCTACGGCGTCGAGAATGCGCCATGCCTGCTGTGCCCTGGACGGCCGTCACGGATAGCGGCCGCGTTGAGAGACCACCCCCTGCGCACCCCTTATGGCGGCGAGAACTTGCCATGCCTGCTGCGCCCTGGACGACAGTCACGGATAGCGGCCGCGGTGAGAGGCCACCCCCTGCGCACCCCTTTTCCTGGTGTCCAGAGTATGACATGCCTTCTGCGCCCTGGACGACCGTCACGGATGGCGGCCGCGGTGAGAGACCGCCCCCTGTGAACCCCCTCAT